AAGATTTTTCAAGGAATTCTGCACCAGAAAATGAATGCAAACAAAACCATGAGCGGACAAGCAACACTAAACCACAGTAGAAGAAAAAATATGGAATCAGAGAGTAACACTGACTCAGCTGCATACAATCAAACCCTTAAACAACAAAAACAACTAAATGTCAGAAATCACCACATATCTATCAATACTAACACTGAATGTTGTGGACTTAATGCCCCCATCAAAAGACATGATTTGGTAAGCTGGATTAAAAAGGAAGATCCAACAATCTCTTGTTTACAGTAGACCCATCTAATTGACAGAAACAAGCACTGGCTTAAGGTTAAAGCCTAGAAGAAAATTTACCAAGCCAGTAGCCCTCCAAAACAGGCAGGAGTAGCAATACTTATCTAGTGCAAAGTAGACTTCAACTTACATTGATCAAACGAGATAAAGGACACTGCATACTAATAAAAGGTAAAATACACCAAAGGGAAATAACAAGTACCAACCTATATGCACCCAATGTCAGTGCACCCAATTTCATCAAACGTACTTTGAAGGACCTAAAAGCATATATAGACTCCAATACAGTCATAGTGGGAGACCTTAATACCCCCATATCACCAATGGGTAGGTCATCCAAACAAAAAATCAATAAAAGAAATCCTAGATCTAAATCACACCATAGATCAAATGGACCTAGCTGATTTCTACAGAATATTTCACCCAACTTCTGCACAATATACATTCTTCTCAACAGCCCATGGAATCTTCTTCAAAACTGATCATATTGTAGGGCACAAAGCAAGCCTCAGCAAATATAAGAAAACAGAAATAATCACATGCATTCTATCTGATCACAATGCATTAAAATTCAACAACAAAAACAACAGTAGAAAACATGCAAACAATAAGAAGCTGTACAACACATTGCTCAATGATCAATGGGTTATTGATGAAATAAAAGAGGAAATTAAAAGGTTCCTAGAATTTAATGAAAACAAAAACATGACCTACCCAAACCTATGGGACACAACAAAGGCAGTCTTGAGAAGAAAGTTTTTAGCCATGAATGCATATATTAAGAGGACAGAAAGATCTGAAATTAATGACCTAATGCTACATCTCAAACTCTAGAAATACAAGAACAAGCAAATCCCAAAACAAGCAGAAGGAGAGAAATAATAAAAATACAGGCTGAAATTAATTAAATACAAACAACAACAACAACAGAAAACAAATAAAGAATCAATAAAACAAAAAGCTGGTTCTTTGAAAAAAATAAATAAAATTGACAGACCCTTGACAAAACTGACTAAAATGAGGAGAGAAAACAACCCAAATTAGTAAAATCAGAAATGCAAAAGGGTAGATAACAACAAACATCACAGATCCAATAAATCTTCAGCAACTATGGTGAGAACGTATATTCTAATAAATTTGAAAATCTTGAAGAAATGGACAAATTTATAGATACTTATGACAATCCCAAATTGAATCAAGAGGATATTAATCACCTGAATAGATCTATAACCCAAAATAAAATTGAAACAGCAGTGAACAATCTCCCCAAATAAGAAAAGTCCAGGAACTGAAGGATTCTGTGCTCAATTATATCAGACCTTTAAAAAAGATCTAATACCAACTCTCCTTAAACATTTCCATGAAATAGAAAGGGAAGGAACACTTCTTAACTCATTTCATGAAGCCAGTATTACATTCATCCTCAAACCAGACAAAGACACCTCCAAAAAGGAAAACTATAGGCCAATCTCCTTAAGGAATATTGATGCAAAAATCCTCAATAAAATAATGGCAAACCGAACCCAACTACACATCAGAAAGATCATTCACCACAACCAAGTAGGCTTCATCCCAGGGATGCAGGGGTGGCTCAACATACACAAATCTATAAGTGTAATACAGCAAATTAATAAAAGCAAAGACAAAAACCATTTGATCATCTCAATAGATGCAGAAAAAGCTTTCGACAAGATCCAACACCACTTCATGATAAAAGTCTAAGAAAACTAGGAATAGAAAGAATGTACCTCAACATTGTATAGGCTATATATGACAAACCTATAGCCAACATCATTCTTAATGGAGAAAAACTGAAACCATTTCCCCTAAAATCAGGAATGAAACAAGGGTGCCCACTATCCCCACTCTTATTCAACATAGTCCTGGAATTCCTAGCCAGAGCAATTAGGCAAGAAGAAGAAATAAAAGGAATACAAATAAGTAAAGAAACTGTCAAAATATCCCTATTTGCAGATGACAGGATCCTATAGCTTAAAGACCCATAGATCTCTACACAAAAACTCCTAGACCCCATAAACAGCTACAGCAAGGTGTCAGGATAGAAAATCAACTTAAAAAATCATTAGCTTTTCTATACACCAACAATGAACAAATTGAGAAGGAATATATGGAAACAATTCCATTTACAATAACCTCAAAAAAAAATCAAATACCTAGGAGTAAAACATAACAAAGGATGTGAATGAACTGTACGAGGAGAACAACAAACCCCTGAAGAAAAAAATCAAAGAATACAGAAGGTGAAGAGATCTCCCACACTCATGGATTGGTAGAACCAACATAGTAAAAATGGCTATACTACCCAAAGCAATGTACATGTTTAATGCAATTCCCATCAAAATCCATCCCAATGACATTCATCACAGAGATTGAAAAATCTACCCTAAAGTTCATTTGGAAACATAAGAGACCATGAATAGCCAAGGCAATACTCAGCAAAAAGAGCAATGCTGGAAGTATCACAATACCTGACTTAAAAGTCTACTACAAAGCAATAGCAATAAAAACAGAATGGTACTGGTACAAAAACAGACATGAAGACCAGTGGAACAGAATAGAGGACCCAAAGATGAATCCACACAGCTATGCCCACCTTATTTTTGACAATGATGCCAAAAATATACTATGGAGAAAAGACAGCATCTTCAACAAATGTTGTTGGGCAAGGTAGTTATCTGACTGCGAAATACTGAAACTAGATCCATATTTATAACCCTTACTAGTATCAACTCAAAATATGTCAAGGACCTTAATATCAGACCTGAAACTCAGAAGTTAGTACAGGAAAGATCAGGGTAAACCCTGGAAGTAGTAGGTATAAGCAATGACTTCCCCAATAAAACACCAACAGCTCAGCAACTAAGAGAAATGATGGACAAATGGGATTACATAAAATTAAAAAGCTTCTGCACACCAAAAGAAATAGTCTCTAAACTGAAGAGACCACCCACAGAAGGGGAGAAAATATTTGCCAGCTACACATCAGACAAAGTACTGATAACCAGAATACACAGGGAACTCAAGAAACTATTCTCTCCCAAAATCAATGAACCAATAAAGAAATGGGCTACTGAACTAAACAAAACATTTTCTAAAGAACAATTTCAAATGGCCAAAAAACACATGAAAAAATGTTCACCATCTCTAGCCATAAAGGAAATGCAAATCAAAACCACACTAAGATTCCACCTCACCCCTGTTAGAATAGCTATCATCAAAACCACCACCAGCAACAGGTGTTGGTTAGGATGTGGGAAAAAAGGAACCGTTGTACACTGCTGGTAGAAATGCAAGCTAGTGCAACTACTCTGTAAAAAAATATGGAAGGTTCTTAAAAATCTAAACAGAGTTCTGTCATATGATCCAGCAATCCCATTCCTGGGGATATACCCAAAGGAATGCAACTCAGGTTACTCCACAGGCACCTGCACACCCATGTTTATTGCAGCACTATTCACAATAGCCAAGTTATGGAAACAGCCAATATGCCCTACTACTGATGAATGGATTAAGAAAATGTGGTACTTATACAAAATGGAGTTTTACTCAGTCATTAAGAAGAATGAAATCTTATCATTCGCAAGTAAATGGATGGAACTGGAGAACATCATTCTGAACGAGGTTAGCCAGGTCCAGAAGACCAAAAATCACATGTTCTCCTTCATATGTGGACTTTAAATCTAGGGCAAATACAGCAAGGTTGTTGGACTTGGGTCACACTAAGGGGAGAGCACATACGGGAGGAATGGGGATAGGTAGGAAACCCAAAACATGAAAGTGTTTGATGTCCCCACTGCAGAGGAGCTAATACAGTAACCTTAAAGCGACAGAGGTCAGTATGGGAAGGTGATCAGAAACTAGTGAAGAGGTCAAGTAGAGATGAATCAATTCAGGTTGAATACACTTGTGCATGGAAGCAATGCTAGGAATCTCTGTATAACTATCCTTATCTCAACTAGCAAAAATGCTTTGTCTTTTTTGTTATTCCTTATGTCTTGTCTTCAACAAAATTGGAGAACAGTGCAGAACAGGTTCTGCCTGGAAGTGAGGGGGGTGTGGGGGATGAGGAGGTGCAGGGGGCAGGGGGAAGAAATGGACAAAATAATGTATGCACATGTGAATAAATGAATAAATAAAAAATAAAATGGAAAAAAACTAAACTTTGCAAAAATTTTAAAGATGAAGATGGAATCCTGTAAGACTCATATGATTTGATTTTTTCCTTGGACTTTTACTTATTTGATTTACAAATATCCTTTTGTCTTTTGACCCATTTCACACAGGGTCAAATGAAAGAATCCAGAAAAGCAATCTTGAAAAGTTTAAAATTGGGAGAGTCTCGTTGTGATCTGTAAATACCTAAGTACTCAAACTGTGTTCTTACCCTTATTTTCTAGACTGTCCTGTCTTTACAACTTTGATAAAATATTGAAGAAAAACTTGTACTTTTAAACTTCAGCTAGAATCTAAGTGGTCTCTGAGGAAACAATCCCTTTTCCTATATTCAGATTTGTCCCAAAAGCTTTATTGTCTTGCAAACTATTAAAGAAGTCTTTGGAAGTACTCACAATTTTGTGAGTTGTGGTTAATGTCTAAGGAATGGGTAAACATTGAAATGTGTGTTTGGTTTAAGTGATTCATTAGATACAAATCCCATGTCAAAGACAATAACTTATCAGGTTTAGAAATCTTACTGCTTCTCTCAGGCCTCAGTAACACTTTTGTCTTCTTGTTTTGGCTTCCACTTTCATGAAGTGCCTTGAACCAGTCCCGCAATCTATTTGCGACTTCTCTGAATTCCAGGTCACTGCACACTAAAGACAAAGAGAAATTACACAAATCTGTAACAAAACGTTAGGAGGATGTCAATGCTATCCTTCAAACTTCCCACATAACCTGAAAAGTAACAATAGCTAAATGAAAAAATAAATGTAATACAATGACTAACTCTGACTGAATTTTCCCAAAGCAAAAAGTAAATGTGTTTCAAACATAATATAATGTAATATAACAATAACATTTTATATAACATAGGAACATCTTTAGTAGAATTTTACTTCCACTCCTCATAGTATAACCCTTGGTTGTAGATTCTTATTAACGTCACAGTAATTGAGTGTTTATCTGTGGTAAATCAATCACAGAAAGGGCATCTTAGAAAATGAGGGTTCTAAGATTCGGAATGAATATTACAGACTTATTAGCCACACTTATTATAATGTGTTTTGATTCAAAAATGTATTTAGTATACCCAATGTATTAGGAATGCACAAAATATATGCTATTTCTATTTTAGTTTAATCCTGTATACTTATTAAGGACAAACAAGGAAGAGTTGTGTTATCTGATGCCAAAGAGGCCAACTGAGGCCCCATGTCTCAGAACTCCTAGCCGAGTGCCCTTGAGGTGTTTTTTGCTCTCCCTGCTTTTGCTGGCTGTAACTTTTTTAAAAGTCAAGCCATTCTAAACAGCAGTGCAGATGTTCTATGTTAAGCTTATCAATCATTCTGATTTGAAATTAATTCTGTAAGTATTTTCAGACCATTCTATTTTCCCCTTTTTTGTGTAATGCGGAGTTATTCTACGGTTTTGTTACCACGAATCCTTGGCCTGCAAACTGCAAGCAGTTACTATGAATTCTTAATAAACAATGTTTGCTAACAACAAAAAAAAAGAAGTTCTGCAAGATATTTTTTAAAAAATATATTTTCCTTTATAATAAGTGAAATATTAGGGGATGTATGGATGTAGCTCAGTGGTAGAACTCATCCTAGAATCAGCATTCAATCCCTACAAATAAACAAAATTTGAATTATTAACCAACTTTGATATATTTGATATATTGTAAGAACTTTTCTAAATGCCACAATGCACCCCCAGCACAACAATAAAAAAGGAAAACCATTTAGACTTAGAATTAAAATTAACTTCCTTTCTGTTTTTGAATGTTACTTATGAAATGTTATATGATTCTGCTATAGAATAAATAGAAAAGTATAATTTATATGTTCTAATATTACAGTATAGTATCCACATCCATTCATTTGCTGCTAGGATATTTTGAAAAAATATAAAACATTTTTCAACCTTGGTTAGAGGATATTGTTATTGAAGATGTCTCTTGTGAGGTTGCAAATGGTACATATTTCTCACCTGTCAAGCATTCTGTACTAATAATATTTTCTTGCTCATTTTTAAAAAACAACCATATATGTTCATAACCCAAATTGCTTCATCCCCTCCTTTTCTCCTTTCTACCTTACTCCCATTCTTATGGTGATTTCAACAGGTTTTCTTGGTACTTTTAAATAACAAGTTTGTTTACAACAAAACTCTCCATCAGCAGTGGTCTGGTGATATTCATCGGGTACATCTATCCATTGAAGCCTTATAAAAATACAAATTCCATTTATGTATCAAAATGGAAGTATAATCAAAATATAGCTGTTGGTAGATAAAGCTAAGGAACAGAAGAGTGTGTTTAGTGCAGTTTCATTTGTGTAAGGAAGGAAAATGCATTTACTCATATATGCTTAAAATAGCTCTGTGAATGTACTAAAGACATGACCTGTTGTTTTCTCTACAATGGGAACTAGTAGTGATTATGTAGGGGCATAAAAGAGTTTTCAGCATGTCCACATTTATGCTTCAGAAAAATTCAAACAGGCCAGGTATGGTGATGCATACCCGTGATTCCATCTAACTTAGGAAATGGAGATTGCCAGGCCCGGACAAAATGTAAGATACTATCTGAAAAATAAAAAGGGAACGAGGAATGGCTCAAGTGATAGAGCACTACTGAGCAAGTGTGAGGTCTTGTGTTCAAAACCCTGGTACCACCAAAAAATAAAAATATAATTTAAACATGTCAATGCATTACCTAGTGTAAACAAGTAAACATTTAAAAAATTTAAGCAAATTATGCCTGTATTATGTTTTTTCACAAACCAAACCCATCAAGAAAAATTTTCATCAAGTAAGTTTTCTGCTGAAGGATGAAAAATGTTTGTTGGACAGATTGGCACACAGTATTTTATTGATTAGTAGATTTCAATATAGTGATAAAGTGCTTACTAGGGAATAATCTGAAATTGTATGATTTTTGAAAGTAAGGAAAACTAGTTATTATTATTTTACATAATAATAAAAGTATTTTAGAAAATTTGCTCAAATATGACAGCAAACATTACCTTGTTGCATATAATACCACAACTTAACTTTTAACATAAGCTTATGCATGGATTGTAATGTTAATATCTTAGAATTTAAGAATTCTGTAGCAATAATTGTAATAATGATAACAGCTGATAATAATGCATACTTATGTGCATGCACTATTATTATTATGTGTATGCATACTTTATATTTTTTAACATATTTAATCCTTACCAAAATTCTATGAAGTATACACTATTCTTGCTTCCACTCTAATTTATTAGGAAACTGAGGCAGCAAACTGAGGAACCTGTCTGACCTCAGACAGGTGAAGTGGTGAAGTCAAGTTTTGCATCCAAAAGTTAGATTTCATGAAGTTTGTTCTTAATCACTACAGCAATCCACCTCAGAAATCTCAAAGGAAATCAACAAAGTAGCAGTTGCCAGTTTAGAACATAGAAGTCAAGCATTGCTTCCCTCAGATTTCATTATCTTTCCTTTCATTAAATAATGAATGTATTATCATCACTGCAGCAGGTTTTGATATTAGTAAATCACATTCTTAGAAGATAGTATCAAACTTATGCATTATATTTCTTGACTTTAAAGTAATATGTCTTCAAGCCTAAAGTTTAATTGGTATCAAAGAGATCCTATTGAGAAATAAATTATAGTACATGCAACCACATATTTCACAGTAGCTGATAAGGGTTACTCAGTAAGACAGACTCCATTCCCTTACATATTTTTTAGAGATACCATGATAGATAGTGTCATGATATTTTGTAAATCACAAGTCTATCTGGTCTTATCGGACACAAAAAGAAATATGTAGTTTAGACATTATCAAAGTATAATATTATTTATAGCATGATACTCCTGCCACCAAACCCTTTTCTTCTGTATAAACTAGCCCACATTCCCCTGAAGCAGGTAGAGCTTCACCACAGGCATTTGACAGCTATTGATGATTTACTAAAAACTTTCCCTAAAGAAGTCAATTAAGAGATTCTCTTCCTATTTGCCAGTAGTTCTACTAAGCAAATTAATTTTTGTAGAAATAATATCTTGCATTTCTACAATATGAAATCCTTTTTGATGAGGCTTCAAATTTGATTTTAATCTCAAGCCTGGAAAGTTAAAGATAGGAATATTATCTTTACTTTTAAGAATTGTGAAAGCTGGGAAGCAGAAGTTAAATACTGCCTTGAATTTTTTAGTCAACGGAGAAGGAAAAGTGCTTGAGACTCATTAATCTAATTACATATGCAGCCAGGAATGAATAACAGAACAACAATTAAGCTAGCATGATAAATACAATTTTAAATTAAGATTGAAAAGGTTGGATTTTGACTCACAGTCTTCAGTTGTACCAAATCATTCACTAGAGCTTGATGTTTTATAAAACAGATGAGTGAAGATGCAAGAACTCCCAGAAATTTTAAAAAGTTACATATATGCTTATTTTTATGTATACACAAATTTGATAAGAAAAAAACACGGGGCAGAATGGATCTGGATAAAGCCAATAAGTTCTTCTAGAATACTGAATAGAAACAATGACCGAACATCAAAGTGGAAAAACATAAAGGAAAGGATGAGAGCCACAGAGGGTTTTCTAAGAAATCTAATATCTGACATAGAAGTGTATAAGAAAGATCACATACACACACATCTTGTAAAATTTATAATATGAAATATTAAAAGACCATGAGTTTTTAGGAAGAAAAACATAAACAGAAGTTACCTACAACCTAGTAGGTGTCCTAGTAGACATCAACTATAATTGATTAGGGAAGATAATGAAGCAAGGCCTCGAGGTTGTAAAGAAAATGAATTTTAATCTAGCACGTCATACTTATGCTATCATCAATCAAACAGGGCACTTTTAGATGTGCAAGAAATCAGAGATTTTGCATTCCATGCCACGATGAGAACTGGCTACAGCAAAATGACAAAGGAAATTAAGAAAAACAAAGACATAAACTTCATAAAAGTAGGACTCACAGCAGAAAAATGTAGAAGTGAAGAACACATATCATATAGGGAATCTGCAGATACAGCGAATGGATGGGCAGCTCAGGAAGGAACAAGTCTTATGGATAGAGATGGGGGAGATTTGGCACAACAGTGTCTGACAATTTGTAAAAGCAGGTGGCATATGGAACAGTGGAATGCACTTAAAGTTAATACTACAGTGGGACAGAAAAATGCATGCAGGAAGACTTAGTGATGAAACAATATAATATGAATGTTATCATTTGGGCTAAAAATGGTCCAATCTTAGCTTTTAGAGGTAGAGAGCTGGAAGTTAGGATGTGAAGAGCAAAAGGTGTCAAGTGACTGTCCTCCTTTTACAGAACAAGGAGGTGTGAGATACTACTTTTTATGCTATCGTAGACATGTAGTTAAGTGTGTTTTTTTAAAAAAATTTTATTGTTTTGCTAATGTTTATATATTTTTTAACATATACAAATATATTCAACCCTGGAAATTTAAGAGAAGCTATACAATAATAATGGAAAATAGATGGGAAATGAAATATGTTCTCATTTACCAAAGCAGAAAAATCTACAAGCAGTATTTGAATTTGGTAGCCAATTCACAAATAAGATAGTTACCAAGCTGGAAAAACTTGCCATACTTAAAAATGACCAGC